CCTGAGTCCCCCTAGGAGTTGAGAAGGGCGGGGTAAAAATGTTCGAAATAAATAAATAAAAATATCTTGTTAATAACATTTTTAAATATAAAAAAAGTTTTGAAAATGATGCTTCTCCAGTTTCCTTAAACCAGAAGATTTGTAGCTGTGGCTTAAGCGCAAACACACTGGAAGAGAAGGCTTATGCACTTTTGCCATATGTTTGATGTTGATGATAATGATGTATGCCTTCAAGTTGCTTCCAATTATGGTGACTTAAGGTGAATATATCACAGGGGTTTCTTGGCAAGATGAGGCTGAGAGAGTGTGGCTTGCCTGTGCTCATTTACTGGGTTTCTATGGTGGAGCAGGGATTCAAACCCTGATCTCCAGAGTCAGAGGCCAGTGCCCAAACCGCAATGGTCCATGCCTGTGTATACATGACAGCAATATTTTAATGCCTTGGGGCCCTTCCAGACAGGCCCTATATCCCAGAATCTGATCCCAGTATTTCTCATTATCCCAGATTATGTTGCAGTGCGGACTCATATCATCCAGTTTAAAGCAGAAAACTTGGGATCAGATCCTGGGATATAGGGCTTGCCTGGAAGGGCCCTTGGAGGTTTCTTCTTGTGGCTCAAATAGCCTTTGATTGATTTTACAAAATAATCTTGCCACATTTTTTGCAGGGGTGGGGTATATGATGCTTGCTACCAAGAAAACCAAAGGATAGTCTAGTGTCAAAAAAACAGGACTGACTTGTCACTCCAGTGCCCTGCAAATCTGCAAAGGCTATTGTTCTCTCAGTGGGCTGAATGAGTTTTATCTCCCCTTGTTTTGAGGAAACTGTTCTTGCTTTGGGCCAATTGAAATGCTCCTTGGGCTCCTGTGCTGGGTGGAATTCACTTGCCTGAGTGAGCCTGTGGACAGAAAGAGAAAGGAAAAGAAAGGGAGGAGGCACTGGAACACTGTGTGACCTTAGGCTGTCGCTCTCCTGCCAGGGAGAAAGGAAAGAGACACAGCAGCTGCTGTTGCTTCTCAGGAACTTCCATCAAGATGCCCTTTCCAAATAGTTCGGCCAGGACCCGGCGGCACAAGCTGATACTGGCAGCGACCATTATCCCCTTAGTTACGCTAGTTGTGGTTGTGTTGCTTGTTGTGATCATTCAGGGAAGAAAAGAGGGCCCCAAATCAGAAATACTGCTAGAGTGGAGAGGCAGGGGGACTACCCCACACCTGCGTGAAATCGTCCTGGGGAGATGTTACAACTATGTGGCCACAGTGAACTCCGAACTCAGGTGAGCCTCTTTCTTTTATTTTCTTCCTTTCCTATCCTTTCCTTTCCAAAATCAGACCAACTCCTCTCTTGTGTTGCCTTTCTCATTCCATTCTTGTGAATACTTCCAGTAAGCGGGGTTGCCAACTTTTTTCGGAGAAGAGCTACTTCGCCCAATTTATGGATGTAGCTGAAGGAAATCTATAAAACTCTATGTATCAAATGTTTTGCTTATGGTTCAGTACTTGAGGCATAGGAATGACCAAATAAAATATGACATTTAGAACAGGAAGCTGGAATTGTAAATAAAATGAAGGATGGAATATAATCTCTTTGGGTTTTGTGTGTGAAAGAGAGAGAGACTAAATGGGAAAAGACATTGAGTGCCACAGAAGGTTCAAAATGCTCACTGTTTTAATAGCTTAATTGTCCTTACAACAATGCTGCCATTATTTTTGCCACATTGTATGTGGGAGAAGAAGCAGGATCTTGTGGACTTCGGGTTTGCTTAATGTCATCTTGTGAGTCATGAAAAAAGTAATATTTGAACTGGAGAATTTCTTTTCCTGGTTTGGACCTCACAGTGTACTGTTATGCATATTTACATGTATGTGTATGGACTACGATCCCATGCATGTTTACTCAGAGATAATCCCGTTGTTGAACATTTAGGGTTATAACTATAGACTTTTAGATTAAGGTTCAGAGAAAAGAACAGAGAATCCCAAATAAATGTTAACATGTGTGGCTGTTAATTTTTGTTTGTGAGCATAATGTATAAACTTGATAGCAAGACTTATTTATTGAACCTTATCAGTGTTTTGCGATAGCATTAATTGAACTTTATCAATTGCAATGCTAAATGTACCTCTGTGGATATGTAGAAGACAGATCATATAATAAATGTTTGGCAGTTCTGTGAAGACCTTTCAAGAAAAAGGTCCTTCCCATTTGCTGCCATGTTCAGAATGAATGTCGCTGGCATGCTGGATTTGACACAGTGAAAATGTTCATGCACACATCAAGTGTTGTCTAGTGCACACCGCATTGTTACCTGTATATGGGATGCATAATAATTCACATCCAGAAATGTGCTTTTGGGAAGTTACCTGCTTTTGAAGAAACTCCAGAATTTAAACCTCAATGATATGAGGTGACTTAGGTAATTTGTCACCTTGAATATGGTAGGCAATGGCATGTTCTTTCTTCTACAGAATTGAGATTCAGTTTCCTGCAAGGATCTATTTAGCTTATATATCTCTTTTATCATTGCTCTCTGGTACATGAAAATGAGCAGATGTTCAAAGGTTTTCAGAACTAAACCTGATGGCCATGTAGGAACCTAATTCACATGTGCACATTAACCATATCACATCGTTTAGACTTTTTAAAAATACATTAAGGAGTCCAGAGACTGGAGTCCCTTCCACACACAGCCCTATATCCGGAATATCAAAGCAGAAA